TAATTATTATATTGCAGTATTGAAATAATCACCCTTTTCTCTCGTGGGGTAATCTCTGAGGCACTTATATTTAAATTACTACGATGCACATGCACGTGTGCGTGTGTTTAAATATTTTAAATTTCCTGAAGTATAAGTGGCTCTTTTGTTCCCATTAGTGTGTGAATTCTATACGAGTTGATACTGCTATACACGAACACCGCATCAAAACAAAAATGTAATCACAAGGGGGGAAAATTCCTAGACAATGAAGTAAAAGCCTTGACATTTTAAAAATAGTTTTTGACAGTGGCGAGCATATACTTTTTTTTTAGTAAACAAAGCTGTATACATATCAAGTAGATATTCTTTACCGAGTCGGAAATGAAATGAAGTTCTCCAAACTATACACACATAAGAACAGTATAAAAGCTTTCATTTTGATGAAATGATGGTTTCAGATTTCTCAACTATTGTTAATATGCAATAATGGTTATAAAATACAAATTAAGCCATCTGCCAGCAGTGTGCCCCGATATGCAAGTCATACATAAATCACGAGTGTAACACGGCTACCTAAAAACATATGCATTCACCATATACACAACTGATTGCATGTATAAATATTTAACAAGGTACAGTTTGTGATTAGTGAGACTACATTTTTTTTTTTTTGATCTTCATTCAAACAGACATACCTCTAATAATATGATGAAATACAAGCAAGGAAATGGAATCATTCCCAGGAAACTGTCTTATCCCTTTTAACAGACAGCATGATGGTAAAAAAAAAAAAATGCTGCACCAGACACAATTTTGCTACGACGCTCAAGTAGCTGATAATTGTATTTTATAATAGGTTGTCTGTAAATGTACACTCATGGCGTATTACTATTGACGTCATAATGTAATTGCAGTGGTTCTCATGAAGAACTTCAATAAAAAAAAATACTATTTCAGTGTAATTGATGCCTACAGATAAAATACTTTACAACGGTTTTCATTTCATGCATGTCAGTTTTCTGACCATAATCACTGGCAATAACAATTTTATTTTAGCTGCATTACAATCATGTTTTAAAACCTAGAATTATTTTAAACTTGATATGATATAAACTACCATAACTTTTATAATTTCATTGCATTTATTTTATTTTTTGACTCAACAACATGTGCCTGATAAAATAAAACTACTAAAAAATATTGATAAATCCCAAACCGATGACGTTGACATTGGCGATGTCTGAATTAAATTAAATAGTTGAAAAACTGAAAAGATTAAATACAAAATCCTGCTCGTTAAATTCAAACAGATATAATGGTTTTATAGCCAAGATGATTTCCAATAAAACCAACTCCAAAGCCCGAAAGGTAATCCCTTCTTCAGATTGACCATAAACTTTAGTTAGGAAGCATTTTAGGTCAAGGTCAAAAGCTAATAAAATCTGTCCATACTGATGTCAAGTTAATAGATCCCATAGAGACTAAATTGCCAACCATACATGCTTAATTACAAATTAAACCACAAATTATACTGGTCAATTAACTGGAAGCCTAACAATGGCAAGCAATCCAGCATGTCTACATCTGGTATCTTGGGGGTTAGGCTTTAGAAATTATATTTCCAATATATCAGCCCCTATCTCTCCTTCTTGCACACCTCAGATAATTATTTACACAAAATACAGCAATTTAGCTATCAGTGGAGGTACCAGCATGTAATGAAAATTCATTTCGATGAACAATCTTACACATGTCTCTATAAAATTTATGACAACCATCTACCATGCTGAAGGGGTCTTTTTCAGTATTTTAATCTCGTAAATAAAATATTATTACTAATCTGATAATTTCATGGCATTATAGCTAGACAATTTCAGAGATGTCACAAAAATACTACCACATAAAATAATAAAATTCTGGTGGAAATACAAAAAACGGAGTGCATGAGATAAAAAAAAAAAAATCACCAGATGTTCAACCTTGAACCATACATTTGAACATTGGATTTTGTCAATATAAAATCTTAATATGCTTTACTGGTGCTGGCAATCTGCTGCCATTTCCATCTAAATGAACAGGCAAGCTAGGCAGGTACTCGCTATGTAATACCGCTCTCACACAGCCATAGCCTTAAAAATTTGTCTGTTGGTAGAAACAGAGTGCTACACACACAAACATACACACACACACACACACACACACACATACATGATAACAATTCAATATACAGGTTCAAATACACAGACAATATCATAATGAAATAAGCCTTGAATGGAATATTAAAGTATCAGACAGTGTACAGTGAAGGCAGAGTGCACGTCATCAACAGATTATGCCAGAATCTTCTCAGCCATGTGACTTTTCACAGGCACAATGTAGTGAAATACAAACGACTGCGTCATCAATCTCCAACAACTCACATTCGATATCAATTCTACTAAATTGCCTTTCGAGCATAAAATAAAGAGTGAGCGATTGTTAAAAACTGTTAAACTTACGTAAGTATTGGTACCAGCGAGGTGCAGATGTCGGGTGGAAAATATTCAGCGTCTACAGGAAATACGCTGGACATGTCATATGCATATGGCATTTTATGCTGATCACTTAGCATAGAGTTGGGTCATGTGAACCAAGCTCTTGGCGGGTAACTATAGCCAATCACCTCTGTGACCTCAAACTGAAAGCTGGCGATTACCACTCAGCTATATTGACAAAGGTATACATTGTAAAATGGGGAAGTCAAAACCTTAGGAATATTTCAAGCAGCCACTGAAGTTGATGACGCAAACATTTACAATGATGAATGCGGCCTGAATTCAAATGACTGCTTGCATGGCCTCTCCTGAGGGGCTTCAATTCTATTACTGCTGACCTAGTTCAGCTGAAAATGTTTATACTAAGGGGCAATAATTATGTAAACTACTCTTTGAAATCATTAATTGAAACATGTACATACGATATTTATTATAGAACAAGAGCTATACAGTCTCAATCTAGTGAAATATGAGAAAACTGTCAATAATTGGTAATTATTCATCAACATGCTCCACTACACAGAAGTACGCTGATCAATTGTATTTCAACACTGACTCTATTTTATCAACAGAAGATAATGGATTATATACTATTGTGGACAAATATTTCAAACTAACAGTTATATTACACAAACAGAATTGATTGTCGTGTTTTGATTAGGTGCTTGTAGTGAATGAGGCAGTAGAACAAGAATGGGATTGGCCTCTTAAACATCATACATTAACATCAGATGAGTAATTGGCTGACCTGGGGCAATCCAGTAGGTTTACACTGAACAACAAAAGCAATTAGATGGAAAATGATGAAATTACAACATTCATTTAAAAATACCTCACTTGGGACACTATCACCGAGATGGCAAGATGATAATAGCAAGGATACTTTTAATAAACTGATGTCACTTTTGAAAAGCTCAGGGGAATGCAGCGATTCACGGATCTGTTGTCAAAATGGATGACTGACTAATCAGGAGACTCTGAGATAATGGTAACATGACAACTTCAATTAATTAGATACCTTGATGCAATCCTTCTTGTGGTCTGACACAAAGACCTTAATATTTATTGACTTTGCCTAACATTGAGGTAAACAAACATCTGATATTCTATGATGACTTCAATCTAGAATACAGATGCACTGATTCTTAATGAAATCTCTGGAGTATTAACTACATGAAATGGATTTACGAGATGTTAGTACTTATTTTATGAAGACTGAATTCTGAAATTCAATCAAATTTATTCTATTAAATTGTAATTTAATGTTATTAAAATAAGACTTGAATTTTCATGCATCGATTAAAATATCAACTGATTTATTTTCCCCATTTTTGGGCATGATCAGTGATAAAAAAATATATACCGTAACGCCCTTACTGATCTATATTGAAGAGATAAGATCATGGGAGTGACACCTTTTGAAAATGGCCCTTTCAAAAGAAAACACACCTATTCCAACATGGTAAAACAGAAAGGTATTGATTTCATTGATTTGGCTCAACTGCTTTTGAAAAATGTGACATTCAACACAATGCTATGAGAAGGAATATTCAATAAAGGGGGCCTCTACCACCAACTTTCTCACAACAAAGCCAAGCCTGCTTTTGCTAGTGTTTATTTAATGCAGAGAATGTGTGGATAAACAAATTAGATAATTATAGACTCTTTCCATAGTCAGTTATAGGAAAAAACAGCAAGCATTTACAGTAGTCAAAAGTAGCGTAAGGTGGACTATGTCCAAGGAGATGAACACTATAGAAGCTTTGACAAAAAAAATGTGTAACTGGCTTCAGTGTGAAAAATTTAATCTACATATTATATCAAGAGCAAATATTTTGTAAAGTAATGCTCTGATAGTAAACTTTAGTGTATACTAGTACACCTATTCATTCCATGAAGACATGCGATACAAAGTTTCACAAACACAAAAGTCCACAAAGCTTAAGCATGTAAATGAATAGTATGTTATGCAAGGGCCAATACCACATATTGTCCCTTAATGAATACATATACGAGGACAACACACTTTAGGGCTGGCCCAGACAGGAAGCGCCATAATAGCTTTAAAATACGACATGTTATTCATGAATAAGAAAACTAGGTAAACTGATGTACAAACTCAACTAGCTACCTTTTAAGCCCCCGTTGGTTTACCATGACAAGCAGTGCAACACATTGCATTAGCTTTTATATTATTCACTGTGACCTCCAAGAGGGCATGTTTAAATGAATAATACAAAACCACAGTAAATATAATAACTATCAACAGAAGCATGTTTTTAACAACCTCCAGATAAGGATGGCAGATTTTCACAATAAATTACACTGACTTGAGAATGCGCACAATGTGCAAACTGCTTGTAAATTATTATTTGAAATTAAATATCGAGTAGAGAAAAATCACAGACCATACTTTATTTATTTACATGGAATTATAGCAACTACAGCCATGAAGCTAAAAATAAATACAGCAAAATGACTCACCCGTCTGCGCACTGTTTTAACAGTGCTGTTGTCAACAGCTTCCACGGCCTCCTCATTCCCACCACAATCTCCGGACTTGGCAGTGACTGGCGGCTTTATAGTAATTTTAATAGACGGACGACTGGCTTTACTAGCTGGACTTTCTTTCAGTGATTTCTTAGCTGTGGGTCGCATTGTTTTCAGTTTGAGCTTTACTTGACCCTCCACAATGTTCGTCTCATGGACGCTGAATTCACGCACCTCTTTATCATTATCCATTGCAGAAAAATTATCATTCTTCCCCAATTTATCCACGTCTGCCGGCCTGACAGAAATTCCTTCGAAACTGCTATTTTTGGCTTCCATTGTGCCCCCATCCATCGAATGCCCATTAAACAAAGGCAGGCTTTGTTCCATTATATCAAGCCCAAACGCTCCTGCCGATAAATAAAAACATCTCAGTGTAGGTACAAATTTGCAAAAAATACGGTACACCACAGGAAGTGTAATGATTTGCCACCGTAGAACAGCGTTGGCAGACGGGCATCACTTAGCACAGTGACATCTAGCTAGTCATCATGGTATGCTAGGCAATGTATATGTAGCGCAGACATGCAACCAACATTACCATCGGGCAGGTCGAAAAACAACAAATTTAGTACTATTTCGGCACAAATACAATGATGAGTAATTTTATACGATTGCCAGAGAATTGCAGTTTCTATTAAATATTGCTGTGTCTGTGTAAAATCGTCAAAAACTGCGAAAACAATGATTTAAACTGCAATAATACCGCGCTCTGAACAGCGCTCGCATACTGCATGCAGTGACAACTTCACAACTCTATGTACATCGAGTCCGGGCTGCAAAAATTGTTACCAGCATCGAAGGAAAGACTGGTGGCCCACCCGCAAAAAATTGGATGTAGTCGAAAGCTGATATTTTCCTGAATCTGTAATATTTACCTTGTACACTGAGCTCGCTTAGGTATTTTTCACAGGGTCGATGAAGGCGGGAAAATCGCACAAAAAGATGATAGGATTGAATCAAAATACGCCATCATAGCGTTCAACAAAAATGGCGACCTCTATAAGCGACACCTTATTTGCATACGAAATGGCCGCTATAAGAACTGATTTTTACTTTATATCTTGTAATCTCCACCAGCAAATGAGAAAAGTGAAGAGGGTATCACTAAACAGCGATGAAAGAATTCTTAACGAAAAATCAACCCGCTTTTTTTCAGGTATTTCCCATGCCACTTAGCGCTAAATTCAAAATGGCTGCGCCCATGTTGATAGCGGTCGGCGGGCGAGGTGAGATGAAAATGCGTTTTACGTGTCTTTTATACGTATTCCATGATCTGGGTGTATATAGTAAATTGTGTTTATTGTAGTCAAATACTGGAAGCCAGATACAGACATATCACTGAACAATAACGGCCGACTGCCTGTTCTGAGGTTGCGAACACGTTGTTTATTATACCATGTGTTCACACTGATATTGTTTACTTTAATTAAAGACTGAAGAGGCGTGCTAATTGGCATATTATTTTAGTTAGATTGCGTAATTCACACCTTGTCCCGTTATTTTGTTTACCGACCTCAGGAGATTCACACGGTGATTTTCTTTATACTTTTCGCATGTCATGGAGACCCCTGAACATAGGGGTATATGATCGATACACAGAATTTCAGATTTAAAAAACAAAAACAAAACACAAAAGGACAACAATATCTGCATTTCAGCGAAGAAAGTATTCAAACCATATCTATACAATTTGCTCGGTAACATCCTGAAATGTTAAGACAGCGTCAGTACATATATTTTGTTTAATTTGCTGGCATAATCTAAGAAAGATAGTATGTGTTTGCAAAAGAATGAAAATCCTATTAATTAAAGTCATGCTCTGAATAAGGCATGTTATATTGCACATAACTCATTCCTTTCTTCATTCTAAGCTAAAGTGGGAGGTTTCGCATTACATACTATTGGGACCCGCCCACAAATTGACACTGCATACCTTAGGCATAATTATGTAATCACCATGACCAGCCACATTGGTAATGTTAGCACTAAGGGTTTCCCCAAAAGTGTTGGCACCTCAGTTAACCTAATAAGCAGTGTTAGCCATATTAATCATGTCATGTACAAAAGTTGATACATTGATAAGACAACGCATCCAACTATATTAGGCATGTTAGTACTAAACCAAGCCACATGTTGACACTTTGGCTAACTTCAGCAGAACTAGCACCAAAGCCATAGCAGTGTATAGGGGTAATCTTGTTACACTGTTCAGGGGAGTCTCAACAACTATCCCAAAGTACCATTTTCTGAGAGTGTCGGCCTTTGTTTTCATCATCATGATTGCCAGGCGATGAAAATGCCTGGATGTCCCACCCCAACGATATTGACAGGGATTCAAATAAAGGACCATAAGCTCCATGTTTTGCTTAGTTTTATCATATGAAAACAGACCCAGATATTCAAACAAAAAATAATTTCTAAGCAATCTGCATCTAAGCTATAAAATCATATGACCAGGTACCCGGGTATATTAAATACCATTTTTCATAAGTTACTCTTAACAGGAAGTAACATCGTCAATAAACTATTTGTTGGGATTATAATTTGATAATTATAAATATTCAGAAATTTTATTGAATTAAAGCATTCTTGTTTATTCTTGTTGGTAGTGGGTTTTTCAGAGACCAAGTTACAGCTTACAAGATGGGCCAAGGTAAACCATTTTTTTTTTCTTGTTTTTATTTTTCGAAATACAAATTAAAAAGGAGTGCAATTGAGATTGTTTTTATTTTTCGGTAAATTGTGTCTCTATGCAGTACTTACTGTAAACGACTTTATTTTTGGGAGACACATTTTCAGGAATTTTGCAAGTTGTCGCACAAATATTTGAGACTAGGATTCCCAAAGTTATCAAGTGATAAGTATTTATATGATGTATTGTTTGTTCATTTCAGATAAACCAAATTTATGATGAAATGCATATTATTTATTTCATAAATTCAATATGGCAGTTATAAATCATAGTAGTCATTGTTTAGGTGGATTAGTACAGTAGATGTGAGCGTTTTATGGAACGGAGGGTGGTACTAGCCTAGCAAATCCAATTGCCTTGTTTGGATTTTCATGAGCCTGATCTCAAATGGAAGTACCCGGTAGTTATTTGAGTTATTTAATATATTTTGTAAATATAAACATGCATTTGTGCCTCTCACTGTACTGACTTTTAGTGGAACAGTATAAACATATACTGTAGAATACTTCAAGTTTATTTTCACTTGGAATTTATTTTCGCTATTTTCGCTGAAGGGATGATTCCATGAAAATAAAATCCAGCGAATATACATTTTTTCCTATATTTCACATTAAACTCGTCAAAAATCAGTGAAAATAAATTCCATACAAAACGCCCAAAAAACCTTTTCAGCGAAAATTAATTCCAGCGAAAATAAAGTATTCCACAGTACTTGTGTAATTTACATGATATATGGGGTTACCCTCACTAAAGTCACAGGAGTAATATTGCCATGAAAATTCAAGTGTGATTGAGATATTTTTTGTTACTTGCATCCAGGCTTGTACATTTTGTATGAAAATACATACAAGTACACAGTTTAGCAACAAGGAAGCTGCAGTGCCTGAAAGTAATGTAAGGGCAGTATTCCGAACCAATGAAACTAACCCTGTAAGTATTCGAATCTTTGTATCATCTGATACTGTCAGCACAACAAACCCATTCCTTTGATTTTTAGCTCCGCTGTCGACAAAGTTGACACAGCAGAGCTGTTCATATTACTGATTGTCCGTCGTCGGCGGCGGCGTCCGTCGTCGTCAACTTTACAATTTCAACTTCTTCTTCGAAACCGCAAGTCAGAATTTTTTCAAATTTGATATGCAAGTACCTTGGATGGTTCTTTCTCAGATTTGTTCATTTCATGTCAAAATCTCAAATTCTCTAATTTTGAAGAATATATTTTCGTTAAAAAATGATATTTTCAACTTCTTGTTAAAAACGGCAATTCTGATTGCTTTGATATTACATATATAGGTACTACATGTGGACCTCTCTCAGATTTGTTCATTTCATGATGATATCTTTAATTCTCTAATTTTGGTGAATATTTTTGTCATTTTTGGTAAAAAGTGATATTTTCGACTTCTTGTTAAAAACAGCAAGTCCAATTGCTTTGATATTACTTATATAGGTATTACATGTGGACCTCTCTCAGATTGTTCTTTTCGTGATGATATCTTTAATTCTCTAATTTTGGTGAATATTTTTGTCATTTTTCATGAAAAGTGATATTTTCGACTTCTCGTTAAAAACCACAAGTCCGATTGCTTTGATATTACATATATAGTTTCTACATGTGGATCTCTCTCAGATTTGTTCATTTTGTATTGATATCTTTAATTCTCTAATTTTGGTGAATATTTCTGTCATTTTTGGTATAAAGTGATATTTTCGACTTCTTGTTAAAAACTACAAGTCCAATTGTTTTTATATTACATATATAGGTACTACATGTGGACCTCTTTCAGACTTATTAATTTCGTGGTGATATCTTCAATTATCTAATTTTGATGATTATTTTTGTCATTTTTGGTGAAAAGTGATATTTTTTAATTCTTGTTG